TACATAGATATATTTCTATTTCAGAGCAATAGTGTGGTTACAAAACCGACGTGAAGCCACTGTGGAAAGAACAAGGACTACAAGTAGTGTAAGGCGAGATGATCCTGGAGAGTTCCGAGTCGGTCGTCTCAAGCATGAAAGAGTAAAAGTTCCACGTGGTGAATCACTGATGGAATGGGCTGAGAATGTCATGCAAATACATGCAGATCGGAAATCAGTTCTTGAGGTACTTTACGCAAAATTTGTGTGCAGCAATAACAGAACTAGCCAGTCTATATATTGCACTGCCTAAAAACTGCATTAGATTTTAGATGTGAGGAGGAATTTCTCTGCCCTCTTTGCAAAGGCCTCCTCTGCAGAGCATCTTTCATAAGAGGATGTCAGCTTACTTCCGGGGTCAGGATCTTGTGATTTATTGAGCAGCAAAGGATATCTTCACTCTTGAGGTGGGGAAATGCTTGGTCTGTTTGAAGGACCCACCTGTTTCTTAACAAAGCCTGGACCAAATAATAGTACTCACAAAGGATTCTTTTTGATACTCTAAATGTTACTTTTATGTAAGCTATGCTATTAGATATCTCCATTTTTGGAGCACACTTTTATAATACTGTTTCACTTAAATTGTGCTTGGTATTACATAATCGGTCCATATTGAGAGAGAGAACAAATGGGAGTATGAAATTCAATATATTTATGATTGAGATGTTATTGTGGGCAGTTGATTATATGTTATATACATATTATTTCTTATACGAGGGCTAGTGGTAGAATTATCTCACCTGCCAACAGATGTGAACCAGCTGGTTTATTTTTTGGATCGTAGGTGATCCCAATGAATATTATCTCTAGGAAATGTATAAGGTTTATTCTTTCTACCCATCTATTCCTCTAACCTAAATAAATAATCCTCAGTTATTTACTTATTTAGTTTTACTATGCACTGTGTATTTTGTAAGCTGCCTCAAATCATTTCTTGAACAGGTAGAGTATGGATAAAAACGTTTAAAGTGGATGACCTAAAGTCAGAAATAAATGGAAGAGTTTAGGTTTTGTTGTTACATAGACACATACAAATCTAGAAAACATCATTTCCTCGAGCAAATGATTTAACCTGTTTATCTGAAATTTGGTTTCTTCTGGTATGAAAAGGAGATCATATTTGTAGTCTGTCGACCTCCAAGGTTTCAGTTTCTATGGTTTCAGTTACCCTTGTTCAACAGTGGTCCAACATTAAATGAAAAATTTCACAAATAAAAAATTAATAACTTCCAAATCACCCGTGTTCTGAGCATGGTGCAGTGTGGTGCTGTGAGTCATCCCTCTGTCTGGTGTATCCACGCCGTATATGCTGCCTGCCTGTCAGTCACTTAGCAGCTGTTTCAGTATCAGCTGATTATTGTTGTTAATCTCCTGCTGTGCTTAACTTACAAAGTTTTCATAGGTATGTATGCATAGGAAAAAATAAAGTAGATATAAGGTTTGGTAGTATACAGTTTCAGGCATTCATGGAGGGGAGGGTGTCTTGGAACAGCCCCATGGATGAAAAGAAACTACTGCTGTCCATTTTGTAGGGGTGTTGGGAAAAAATGAATTTATGAATAATGCTCACCACAGTGTTTAGACATGTAATAGTGTACAACAAAAATGAAAAATACTTACATGTTGCTTATATTATACTGCTGCTGTAAAACAAACATATATACTGGATTGTATATGACTAATTTTGGCAAGAATGGGATCATTTAAGCTTACTTCTACCTATAATTTATTTGTTTATATTTTAGGTTGAATTTTTAGGAGAAGAAGGGACTGGCTTGGGACCCACATTGGAGTTTTATGCTCTGGTGGCAGCAGAATTCCAGAGAACTGACTTGGGAGCTTGGCTTTGTGATGATAACTTTCCAGATGATGAGTCCCGTCATGTAAGGTTTATTTTCCATTTTATGATTTGATTTGTGATTCTGCTTTTAGAAAGTGTTAAATTGAGAATGTTATGCTTTTAGAACATAAGCCAGTTTTTTTAATCTTAATTTATTGAATAATCTTGATATTATTAAAATGTTTTTAAAGGATAATATTTAGTTGCAAAAAATAATTTAATAAAATGTGTATATAAATACTTTTAGATAGTTAAAGATGTTTAATGTTTATGGATCTTTAATTTTATTTTCATTTCTTCCTCTAAAAAATTAGGTTGATCTTGGAGGTGGGCTGAAACCTCCTGGATACTATGTGCAGAGGTCATGTGGACTGTTCACAGCACCATTTCCACAAGATAGTGATGAACTTGAAAGGATCACAAAACTCTTTCATTTCCTTGGAATTTTCTTGGCCAAATGCATTCAAGACAATAGACTTGTGGACTTACCTATTTCTAAACCTTTCTTTAAACTTATGTGTATGGGGGACATTAAAAGCAATATCAGTAAACTGATTTATGAGTCACGAGGTGATAGAGACTTACACTGTACTGAAAGTCAGTCTGAAGCTTCTACAGAAGAAGGTCATGATTCGCTCTCAGTAGGAAGCTTTGAAGAGGATTCAAAATCAGAGTTTATTCTGGATCCCCCCAAACCAAAACCTCCAGCTTGGTTTAATGGAATATTAACTTGGGAAGACTTTGAACTAGTAAACCCACACAGAGCCAGATTTTTAAAAGAAATTAAAGACCTTGCTATCAAAAGGCGCCATATTTTAAGCAACAAAAGTCTTTCAGAAGATGAGAAGAACACAAAATTACAGGAACTAGTGCTGAAGAATCCATCAGGGTCTGGGCCTCCCCTTAGCATAGAAGATTTAGGGTAAGTTTTATATAAATATTCTTCAACCTAATGGATGAATAAGTTCTAAAGCTTTTGTTTCTTTCTCCCCACATATTTGCAATATTCCAGTAAAAGGTGGTGAGAACAATAATGCAGTACAGGAAAAATTATTATTTTTAAATTTTTAAACATTTTTATTTGAGAGAGAGAGAGAGGAAGGAAGGGAAACATCAGTTTGTTGTTCCATTTAACTTAGGCATTCATCGGTTGATTCTTGTATGTGCCCTGACTGGGGATTGAACCCACAACCTTGGGGTGGTGGAATGACACTCTAACCATCTGAGCTACCTGGCCAGGGCAGGAAATAATGATTACGGATTCAAATCTTTGATTTGCTGATATTAGAAAGATAACTCAGAATACCAGAATGTAGTTTATTAATCAATAAACCTCTGAAAGATTATCTGATTTGTCAAGTATGATAAATATGTATAAATATAAATCTTGCATGAAAAAGTCCAAAGCCAAAAATATTGACACATTTATTAGCTAATTAATATATAGCCAAAAGGCAAAGCTCAAAGCAGCTTGCTGTGTAAGCCTTATTCCCAATGGCTGCATTAACTAACTCATATGTGGCAATCTTTTGATAAAATTCTATTAATTTATATATATGTAATTATTACAACCTTGGTATATCTCACTATGGTCTTGGGATGACTACAAGGTTTGCTTTCCCTCTCTCCCTCCCTTATATTCAGAGTTTGGTGGAGGGTGGGGTGGTGGCATAGCCTGAATAACTTTAGTTTTCAGGCAATAGTTTCTTCCTACAAAAAAAAAAAAATCTTGTAAACATGTTGAGTAATTCATTGCAAAAATCTTTAGTTTGTTCATTTTGTGCCATAAGGGTGAAATGAAATACAGAAAGGTGGTGGTTTCACCGTGGCTGGTGTGGCTCAGTGAACTGAGCGCTGGCCTGAGAACCGAAGGGTTGCTGACTCAATTCCCAGTCAGGGCACATGCCTAGGTTGTAGGCCGGGTCCCCAGTGGGGCATGCACGAGAGGCAACCACACGTTGGTATTTCTCTCCTTTTCCTTCTCCCTCCTTTCCCCCACTCTAAAAAAATTGAATAACTAAATAAATCTTAAAAAAAAAAAGAAAGAAAGGTGGTGTTTTCATGCGTTCTTTGCAAAGCCAGGTTGGTCTAATAGTTTTTGTGTATAGGATTTTTTGTTTTTATTTTTAACTTTTTGTTTTAAATGCGGATTTTATTTATTTATATGCCAAGATCCATTATAAAATATTAAAAAATTTAAAACCATTATAAAGTCTCAGAAATTAAACCAACATGACACCAGCATAGAAATAATCAAGTAGGTCAATAAAATAAAATGAGCATTCTAGAAACAAATGTATATATCTAACAATGTAATATATGATTAAATTGATAATTCAAATCAATGGGGAAAATAAGGCTTATTCAACAAATAAGGTGCATGGGCCACTATTACTTGAAATCCCTATTTCACACATTATACAAGAAATATTCAGGAAAGTTAAAAATCAATATGTGAAATCTCTAAGGAGTTTTCAGAGAAAATTCAAAAAAATATTTTTCTTACCCTGAAGTAACATATTCAAACCCAGAAGCTATAAAGTAAAATATTGACAGTATGACTATCTGAAACATTTAAGACTATATAGTAATATACATATAAAAAAAGTTAAAGAACAAGAAATAGAATAGGGAAGTATTTGCAACACATCTAAAAAAGGGTTAATAGTTTTTTGGGGTTTTTTTAGGGCAAAAAATTCTACAAACATTTAATCAAAAAATGGATAAAGAATACCAAAAAATCATTTAAAGCTTTTTAAAAATAATAGAAATAGGCAAGAAATATACAAAAACAGGTTTAGTTTCAACAAATAAAGTAACAAAATAACACATCATTGTCACAATCAGATTAATCAGTATTTTTTTTTTTGCTTTTCATTTTATTTTTTATTGTTCAATTACAGTTGTCTCCATTTCCCCCCCCATTACTCTCCCCTGCTCTACCTCCCACGTCAGCCCTCCCCACTGTTGTCTTTGTCCATGGGTCCTTTATACATGTTCCCTGACCCTTCCTCTTCTTTCCCGTTATCCCCCTCCCCTCTGGTCACGGTCATTAATTTAATTTTATTTTTTTTAGGGTTCTTTTATTTATTTTTTTAATTTATAAGATTAATCAGTATTAAAAAATACGTAACACTTCACAAATTTGCTTGTCATCCTTGCGCAGGGGCCATGCTAATATCTGTATTGTTCCAATTTTAGTGTATGTGCTGCTGAAGTGAGCATTTATTTTTAACTTTTTAAAAATATTTTATTTATTTTTAGAGAGAGGGGAAGGGAGGGAGAAAGAGAGTAAGAGAGAACCATCGATTGGTTGCCTCTTACACGTACTCCCACTGGGGGACCAAACCTGCAATCTGGGCACGAGTCCTGGCCAGGGATCAAACCCATAACCTTTCGCTTTGTGGTATGACACCCAACCAATTGAACCATATCAGTCAGGGCAGGATTTGTGTTTAAAAATGCCTCATGCTTAATATCTAAGCTAGTACTGTATATACTGAGTATTTTGCTGGAGGAGTTGGGGTTCATGGTTTTGGTGGCAATGTTATAAAAATTAAGTATCACTGGCAGCCAAATCTTAATCTAATCATTATTTGTGCTTCCAGTTTAAATTTCCAGTTTTGCCCCTCTTCAAGAATATATGGTTTTACAGCTGTGGATCTCAAGCCAAGTGGTGAAGATGAGGTAAAGATTTTGTTTTTGATACAGTTTTAAGTTCAGAATCATTAACTGATGTCAGTTGTACTAGGCACTACTGAAATATTCCTAGATATAAATAATAATGGCAAATTTTTCTTTGCAGATGGTAACAATGGATAATGCAGAAGAATATGTGGATTTGATGTTTGACTTTTGTATGCATACGGGTATTCAGAAACAGATGGAAGCCTTTAGAGGTAATTTTTAATTCTCTTTATCTTAATCCCTCTACTTTTACTTTGAGGCATTTGAAATTAAGGTACTGTTTCTGTCAAGAATTGGCTGGTAATCTCCTGACTTGCCCTCTAGGTTTCTGTCTTCCAAATAGTTAGTTCCTGCATAGTACCTGAACAGGCTGGAACATTCATATGCATATACTCAGCTTGCTACTCCTGAGTTACAGGGGGGACCCACTTTTGGCTCCATTTCCTCATTCGTTTGTGGTCATTAGGTTGCTTTCTTCCCACATTTACATGATCAAGCTGAATTAAACCATGCTAGAACCTGAGTTCTTCTGGTGAAGATTGAAGCAAAATATATTAGACCTTTCAAAACTTACTGATTTTGGAAATGAAAACATAGCTTTGGCTGGCTTATATAATACAATGGGAAATTAGAATTCAGTGCTGACCATGGTGGCAGAATATTCTCTGTTCACATTTGTGATATTAAGCAGAGATTTCACTTTAAACTCTAACACAGTTTTTTAAAGCTATTTAATTTATATATATTTTCAAACATTTATTAATATTTTGATTTGGAATTTGGTACTTTGAAGTTGTAATTTAGACACTGGTTTTTGTTTTTGTGTTTGTTTTTTTGCTGTGTACATAACATAGATGGGTTTAATAAAGTTTTTCCAATGGAGAAATTAAGTTCCTTCAGCCATGAAGAAGTCCAAATGATCCTTTGTGGAAACCAGTCACCATCCTGGGCAGCAGAGGATATAATCAATTATACTGAACCTAAGTTGGGCTATACACGTGACAGGTATGTGTTTGTTATTTTTAAAATAAAATTGTTTATGTCCCCAAATCAAATGGTAGATGATCTCTAAAGACTTTTGACTCAGTGAAGTACATTTATAAAGTAAATGAGAAAGCAGTTAAAACTCACTATTACCAAGGAGCATATCTATTAGTAAGACTGAGTTTACACAGAAAGACAACAGAGTCTTGGCTAAGTTCAGATTCCTTTTCTCACTGTTTTAATTGTTCATTGTTTTCAAAATTAGGGACACTATAAACCCTTAGGCCATACTGCTTTTTATATGAACATTTTTTCTCTTTTATGTTGAATTTATTGGGGTGACACTGGTTAACAAAATCATACAGGTTTCAGGTGCACAATTCTGCAGTACATCATCTGTACACCGTATTGTGTGTTCACCACCCCTAATCTCTGTCCATCACCATTTATCCCCCCATACCTTCCTCCACCTCTATCCACCCCTCCCCCAGCAGTCGACACTACTGTCCATTTCCATAAGTTTTCTCTCCCTTTTTTTGTCTCTTTTACTCAATTGCTCCACAACCCCCTATCTACATCCCTCTTATCCCCCTTCCCCCTAGCTGCCTGTTCTCTGAGTCTGTCACTATTTCACTTGTTAGTTCATTTTGTGTATTAGATTCCAAATATTAGTGAAATCATACAGTATTTGTCTTTCTCTAACTGGCTTATTTCACTTGGCATGATGCTCTGCAGGTTCATTCATGCTGTTGCAAAGGGTGAGATTTCTTTTTCTTTTTTTTTAATGGCCAAGTAGTATTCCATTGCCATTGTGTAAATGTACCCTTTCAAATAATCTCAAATTTATAGAAAAGTTGAGGAATAGTTGAAAGAATTCCCCATATATCCTTTGCCCAGATTCACTGGTACTTAAGATCTTGCTCTGTTTCTTTATATTATCACTTTTATACATGCACACACACACTTACACTTAATAAACATAATATGTAGAGCTATACAGACATACTGTTTTTCTAAACCATTTGAGTGTGTGTTGCATTTATCATGTCCCTTCACTCTTTAATACTTGAGTGTACATTTCTGAGAATATGGGTATTTTCCCATGTATGCACAGTAGCTGGCAAATTCTTGATGCTATACTATTAACTAATCTATCATCCATAGTTTAATAATGTCCTTAGTAGCACTCCCTTCAGCCCTGTACGTCCTCTTTCAAGAAATTGCATTTTTTTGTGATGTTTTAAATCTGGAATAGTTCCTCAACTAATTTTTTTCATACCACTGACACTTTAAGACTATAAGGCCTTATGTTACTTTTTTTAAGAAGTTCCTAAACGAATGTAAATGAGAGAATATTGTGAACTATTTTAAGCTTAAAGGATATTGTTTATATAGCATTTTACTTTTATTTATTTTTAGAGAGAGGGGAAGGGAGGGAGAAAGGGAGGGAGAGAAACATCACTGTGAGAGGGGAATGTCAATTGGTTGCATCTCATACTCACCCCAGCAGGGGACTGGACCCGCAAGCGAGGCACATGCCCTGACTGAGAATTGAACAGGCAACCTTTTGCTTTGTGGAATGATGCCCAACCAACTGAGCCACACTGGTCAGGGCTCTATAACATTTTTTAAAGTAAACTTTTTATTGAAGTTTAACAAAGAAGTGCACAAATTGAATGTATTGCCTGAAGAATTTCGTGACATGAACCCTACTGTATAATTGGTACCCAGAATAAGAAACAACTCCAGAAAGCCCCCTTCCTCATAATATTCTTTTTCTAGTCATTAAATTACTATTCTGGCTCTGGTCGTAGTTCAGTTGGTTAGAGCGTCAACCCTATGCACCACAGTTGCATGTTTGAGTCCCAGTCAGGGCACATACAAGAATCAACCAGTGAATGCCCAGATGAGTGGAACAACAAATCACTGTTTCTCTCTTCCTCTCTCTAAAGTCAATTTTAAAAATCACTATTCCCATTGATTAATTTTGCTTGCAGTTATGTATTCTTTAAGGTGTGGCTTTTTATATAATAAAATCATGAAATTCATACATGTTTTGGCATATGGTGGTAGTTTATTTCTCTGTAACAAGAATGGGTTATTTCAGATCTCCTTTGATAACTTAGGCATATCTGGATAAATTATGCAATGGGACTTTGAGCTTTTCAGAGTTGTTGGTTTTATTGAATTTATTTTTAAAGATTTTATTTATTTCTAGAGAGGGAAAGGGAGGGAGAAAGAGAGGAAGAGAACCATCAATGTGTGGTTGCCTCTCATGCACTCCCCACTGGGAACCCAGCTAGCAACCCAGGCATGTGCCTTGACTGGGAATCGAACTGGTGACCCTTTGGTTTGCAGGCCGGTACTCAATCCACTGAGCCACACCAGCCAGGGCCTTTATTTCATGTTTGATCCCCATACTCCATCAGTGTTTCAGTTCTTTATTGAGCATGAGAGTCTTGAAGGATATATATGTATAAAATCTTAAATTGTAATCCTCACCTGAAGATATGTGTATTGACTTGAGAGAGAGAGAAAGAGAGAGAGAGAAGCATCAGTGTGAGAGAGAAACAAGAAACATCGATCAGCTATCTCCCGTACATGCCCTGACTGGGGATTGAATCCACAACCTCGGTATGTACCCTGACTAGGGATCGAACCTGCAACTTTTTGGTGTATGGGCTGATGCTCCCACTAGCTGAGCCACCCAGCCAGGGCTTGAAGGGTATTCTTAAAGTAATTTGTGTCAGCTCATTTCATATTTACCTAAGAGTCTCTAGATAGTGGTGGTGTTCTGACATGTGGATATTGGGGTTTTTTGGTGGTTATTGCTGCCTTACAAACTAGTGCTAGTGTTTTTCATTTAAATCAGCTGTTAAATCAGTATAACTTTTTTTTTTTTCTTTTAGCCCTGGTTTCCTGCGGTTTGTGAGGGTTTTATGTGGCATGTCTTCAGATGAAAGGAAAGCATTCCTGCAGTTTACCACTGGTTGTTCAACTCTACCCCCAGGTGGACTGGCTAACCTACATCCCAGACTCACAGTTGTACGCAAGGTACAAACTCTAGCTAATGGGGAATCCAATTTAGTTATTAAAGATAGAAAGAAATATTAAAGCCATGGTATTTTCTATTATTTTCAATTTCCTGTCTGTAGGTTGATGCTACGGATGCGAGCTATCCATCAGTGAATACGTGTGTCCATTATCTAAAGTTGCCAGAATATTCTTCAGAGGAAATCATGAGAGAGCGCCTGCTAGCTGCTACAATGGAAAAAGGCTTTCATCTCAATTGAGCTTTGAAGTGCAATTGGAGACATCAGAGACTTTTAATACACTAGTGAAGCCTCTTGTTTGTGTGAAGAGAAGTATATGACCCTCCAAGCTAATGACACTTGCCTTTTTTTCCACCATTAAGGCTTTCAGAACATGTGGAAAAAGTTTGTTAGCTGCTAATGACAAAACAAATCCTTTAACTACCCAGCCAGCAAGTATATAGCACAGAACACTGTGTTGCTGCAAGGGCTTATGTGACTGGAATAAGGTGGTCCTACTTGACTGTTCCAAAGAACGCCTCTCAGATCTTCAGTGTTCATTGGTAAATTTCTAACAGTGTATTTGTGTAAAGTTTGTCATTTCATACTTCATACACTACAGTTGCCATCACCAATCCCTGTTTTGCTGGCTTTTAAGCTACTTGGTCAAAAATCCTGCTTCCGTAAACCATAGAGAGTTAATGAGCATCTCAAGCTCCCCCCTGCCCCCCACTCCCGTTAATGATGCCTGCACTATCAGAGTATTCTAGTGTTCTCTCTTTGTTTGGCATATAATCATGCACAACCTTTTTATTTCTTTGAGGTGGGAGTATATTTTTATTTCCTAAATGCCATACTATAAAGATCAAATTCTTAAGTGTGTTTGTGCAGTTCAAAAATAAAGATATATGAAGGGGAAAGGAAAAAAACACTGGTCTAGATGCAAGGCACACTTAAAGCGAGTTTTACTTTGATTGTATTTTCTTTGTATATTATAAACATTTATTTAACTTGTTGCAGTTTGAAGTAAAAAATTCCCAAAGTGTATGCTCAGTAATCATTAAAATGTTTGCAGCGTACAAAACTGTGTCATGTGACTATTTCACTGCAACCACCAGAGTTTAACCAGATACTTTACATTTTGAATCACTGAGATTTAGTTTTTTGAAATTATTACATGAAGAAATCTATTTTTCTATAGTAAATACACTTATTGAAACTGGAAACCTAGAAATATGCTCACATGCTTAATTATGATCCAATTGTTGTGTTCTTGAAGTATTCTCCAGCTGAAAATGGCCGATTTATTTGTGTTAATTTTTTAAATACCAGATATGCTACTTACTGTTGTATCTGTAGGGATGTGTAAATCTAAGACACAAGAATGATTTTTGAATATTGTGTTAGCATGAAAAGAAACCACCAGGATACTGCTATTTTCTGGTTTGAAAGAAGGGGCTCTATTTCCATTTTCCAAACTCCACTGATTTGTCACATCTATGCATTTAGGTTAAAGAAATGTTGCAAGGCTTGATTTAGCCAAATGGCTTTTTTAGGAGTGAAAAGCATTTTTTGGAATTGCCCATTATTTACCTGTTTAAAAGGTACGTTCCCTTTCTACATTAGAAGAGAAATCTCCCACAACAGTCAATCATGAGTACTGTTTTTATTCTCTGCATGAGAATGTTGTGACTATGTAATCAGAGACAGCATTTAATTTACCTTATTGTTAGCTTCACAATTCTCTGTGAGAATAAAAGTTAAAATAAAACATAACAGCAATATTTAAATGTATGACCTATGCTTTAATCCAAAAAATAGTCGTGGTGATTGTCTCAATAAAGTTGTGAGTGCATGACTAAAACTTTATAATAGTATTGGAATTAAAATCCAGTATATGTAGTATTGCCATTATTTAAGTCTCTAACATGTATATCAATAGCCAGCTTCTTCCAAGACTAGCCTAGCAAAGGGGTCAGCAAAGTATGGCCTGCCACTTGTTTTGAATAGCCCAAGAGTTAAGCATGGTTTTAATTTTTTTAAGCAATTGAAAAAAAGAATCAAAAGGAATATTTTACTATGTGAAAATCTTATGAAATTCAAATTTCAGTGTCCATAAAGTTTTATTAGAACATTGCTATGCTTATTCATTTACGTATTACCTATGGCTGCTTTTGTACTACAGTGGCACAACACAGCCTGTAAGGCCCAGAAAGCCTAAAGTATTTACTATACGGTCCTTTACAGAAAAGTGCTGAATCCTGGGCTAGCACATTGCTTTTGCTGGTAAAATTGATGAGTTTTAACAAAATCAGTAACTGAAATGTCAGGAGTCTCCCAGCAGAAAGGACAGTCCAAGAACCAGGTATAGCTAAACCAATCTGACATAAATTTCATGACTGTTAAATGACTGAAAGGTGGGAGTCACCGTTCAGCAATTAACCTAAAGTGAGATGATGATATAGCCTGTAAGAACAGGCACATTGCTTTGACTGGTGTGGCTCCCTGGGTGGGGCACCATCTGGCAAACAGAAAGATCCGGGTTTGATACCCGGTCAGAGCACACACTTGGGACACGCCCCGATTGAGGATGTGCAAGAGGCAACTGGTAAATGTTTCTCTCCCTCTCTTTCTCCCTCCCTCCCCCTCTTTCTAAAAATAAATAAATAAAATATTTAAAGATTAAAAAAAAAGTCACATTGTACTTCACTTTTCATGAGTCAAGTGTTAAGAGACATCTACTAGGGTCTCCACAATATTAGGTACTTAAGTATTTTTTCCTGTGTTAATACTACTGAATATATTTTTTAAATTCTTATTCTCTCAAGGTACTAAAATCTGTGCCAAGATGTTATTCAAGTGCTATTTTGGTGTGACCCAAAAATTAATTTTGTTCATTCCCTAGTTACTTCTGGTGTACCAGTTTCAGCAGTTACCTCAATGTGCTACTGATTAAGTGCCTACCAACTAGGACAGTGTTTCCCAACTAACAGGTCTCTGAAAGACCTCTAAAGCACTTTGGTCGAGGCTGGGCTTTCCCCAGACCTTGGCTATATGTACATACCACTCGCTGGTCTGGAAGGTCAGCACGGTTTACTCTGTCTTCCTGAATGAGTCCAAACAATTCAGTTTTGCTTTTGGAGTCTATTATTGACTTGATGCTGGGTCTTTACAGATGTAAACTTTGAAACATGTAAACAGATCAAAAATTTAAACAAAATCCCCCCGTCTCCACCCACACACATGTGCAAGCATGCAAAGAAAAAGTCAAACAGGACTGAATGAATTATTAGTGCCTAGAATGTCCATATACTTTTACAGAGAATACTGTAGATTAAAGAGCTCTTGAAATTCCATTGGATGGCACAATATCTTAATGTACCAAGACTGTGTTTCTATATCCTCCACTGCACCTGCCCTCCTATACCTACATGCACATAAACATGGCTTTTTTTCTCCTAAAACAGTTCTGTATATTCTGCTGTTGACTCAGCAGCAAAAGCATGTAGAAAGGTTGAGACCCTGGCTGGGTTGCTCAGTTTGTAAGAGTGTTACGGCTGTGGGTTTGATCCCTGGTCAGGGTACATACCAGAATCAACCAATGGATACGAAAGTAAGTGGAACAACAAATCAATGTTTTTCTCTCCCTCCCTCCCTTCTCTCCCCTGATCCCTACCCCCACCCCCAACAAAAGTAAGCAAGCTTGGGGGGGGGGGTATAGCTCTTTTATAGCAACTTAGCATTTTCGTTTCAAGACATTGCAGGAAAATGGGTTGAAGGAATAAATTAGGGAAGTTAGGGAGGGGGGAGAAGGATTCGTTTCATACCTGAAAAGAGAGATTCTTGCATTCTATTTTTAAACTCTGAATTAAAGTAAAATTCATTTATAAGTAAGTTTACTAATAAGACAAACCGTTTATAATATGGCATAATGAATGGTTGTAAGGGCTCTCTTTTAGTGTTTAACCATTTACTATTTTGTAGTAACATTATAGTTAGTTACATAATGGCATTGTAATAGCCAAGGGCCCCTAAAATTGATCTCAGGCTTTTTGAAACTGGCAAATAAAATTTAATTCTGATGTTTTCATTAGGCACACAATATAGTAAAGTTTTGACTTTAAAATTGAATTTATTGGAATGACACTGGTTAATAAAATTATATAGGTTTCAGGTATACAATTTGGTAATATATTATCATACTATTGACTTGATGCCAGGTCTTTACAGATGTAAACTTTGAAATATGTAAACAGATAATTTAAAATTCCCCCCCTCTACACACATACAAGAAAAACAGGACTGAATGAATGATTAGGGCCTAGACTGCCCATGTATATTCTTTTGCTATACTATACTAATAGTATAGCAAATATCACTATAAATACTACATATTTAATATTGTGTTTTCACCCCTCAAATCAAGTCTTCCATCACCATTTATAACCCCATATCTTCTTCAACCCCCCACCCCCTTCCTTCTGGCAATCATCATACTGTTGTCTGTCCATGAGTCTTCCTTTTTTTTCTTTGCTTAATCCCTTTACCTTTCTCACCCAGCCCCCAGCCACTTCCTCTTAAGACTTTTCTTATATTGTATTTTTCAATTATAGTACTTACAGGTGCACAGCATAGTAACTAGACAATCATTCAGAAGACAAGTGCTACGGGTGTTTCAGTCAGCTTTAAATTTTTATTGGCTGATAACGAGCTGCCACACTTTCTTCCATCTCATGCAGCTATTTCTGAATTTAATTTGCAAAGAGACCAAAAATTTTATTTAACAAAATTTCAACAAGTTAGGGGGAACTGCTTATGGTTAGAAAATGAAACTCATCTCTCTGAGAAAATTTTTCTTTGTACATCATATTTTAAAACAGAGTTTTGTTTTCCATTTAGGAATTGTGAAAAACACCTTACTTAAAAGGTCTTTGGAAGGATACTCCATTTTGCAGTGTGTGCTCTTCCAGAGTCTTTGGGGTTGCAGATGTTGAAAGGCATTCCATGTTCCCATTTCCTGTGTCCGAGGCCTGCACCTCCCACTTCTTCAGCTTTCTGACATCTTATCAAGAATTAGCAGAGGGGCAAGAATTCTTGCCCGGTTCGTTTCCACAATGCAGCCGTTCAACACCATCTCATCCAAAATGATGTATACTTTATCCAAATTAAACATTATCTAGGGTCTTATTAAGGAAATTGGTTTTAGAGTTATAAAAGTATTAACATTAAGTAACAATTTAGGACTCAGTCTGGCATTTTTCCAGTGTAAATTAGTGTAAGCATGAAGGGTTTTTTGTTGGTTTTTTAAAACAGAATCCTTGAAATAAAATTTAAAATTGGTATCCATATTAGAAATTATCTTTATATATCCATATGCACTAGTTTCACCTTGGTTAAGCTAACTAGACAATAGGCATAGAAATGGAACAGCTACACCTTTTAGCCAGAGGGAGAAGGAATCAGTATACTAAGAGCAGGAGAACATAACAAGTGACATTTGGTGAGACCATCACCTGGCCTCTAGAAAAACACTATCTTCCCAGACAATAGCAACAGTAACAGTCATGATTTCTTGAACACTATGTTCCGTGCATCATGTTGAGTGTTTTACATGTTATTTCAGTCTTCTCTACAGTTTTACGATGTACATATTGCCCTCATTTTACTCAGGAGCAAACAGGCTCAAAGTCATTGTGTAGGGTCACATAACTAGTAATTGCCAGAGCTGGATCTTCAGCCCAAAGTTTGGCCTTGACTGCTTTGCCTCCAGAGTTCTCAGGAGGGCCCTGAAGCTACTACTGAGTGTCATTCAGCCCTGAAGCCTCCACCCCAAAACAAAGGCCCTTACAACCTCGCATCCTAAGCTATCATCTACGTCAAGAGCGGCTGAAGAAAAAAATAACCAGGAGGAGGAATGAATGATGAAGAAGGCAAGGCAATGCTGACTCAATTCCCAAAGATAAAAATTCTGAATCCTCATTTGAGAATTATGGAGCCACGTTAGCTTATGGATATTCTTAATAGGGTATGTCAGTGTAGGGCATGGAGGAAGAAGAAAATATAGTCAGACTATGCTATCTACCTAACTAGAAAGCCAAATTCTCCTTCCTGGAGACCCTTCATTTGAATATCTAACTTGCCTTTTATGAAAGAAAGGGAACTGGAATGAGATGGTAACAATGGTTGACTGTTTATGATTTCTAAGTTGCCGTCACTATTTAAATAGTATTATCCTGGTCTATTAAAAACAAACAGCTGACAGGTTGTTTCAAACAGACAAACTTCATCCAACAAATGAGCGATTAAATGCACCGGGGGAGTTCATAATTAAATAGTGAATCTTTGTAAAGTGAATCATTACCACCTGATTTTTTCCCCCATAATTTCAGATGCTCAAGTCTATATTGTATATATGTAGTGAAGTACATCAATATAGAATGAGACAACCCTGTGAATGACTTTTAAGTTTCTATTCAGCTCTGCGGTAACATCTCATTAAGCTCTGTGCAAATAGTTTTCCAGGAGAATAAACTTTTTCAGGAGCCCATGGGAATTGTCCTTAAGTAACCCAGAAAGAAAAAGAAAAGCTTTATTCTGATATACCTATTAATAATATCTTCCAATTATACAGATGATTGCTTTGTCCATGGCCAAATTGGGACTGAAATATTAGGCCCTTGACTCAATCATTTGTGTTCACCAGACCCAAGACAAAGCAGGGAATGAGACAGCCTGGGACAGAGAAAGGCTGGGGGCGGGGGGGTGGGCACACAGGTGGCTGAATGTAAAATGGCCTGTGGAATCCCCCTGTTTTATTCACTAAGGGCAATGACAACCTTAGTGCCTTTGGGAATGTAACTCATCTAAGATAATTTTCTCGGAGACAGAAGATCTAATTTTAATCTATGTGAACAGGACTGGTTCAGGGATCAAGCTGCTCTGAAGACTGTTCCATCTTTGGCAAGTAGATGATCAGCAATTCAGATATCCCCTTGGGCAACTGCCCAGTTGTTTTGAAATTCAGATTAAGAATTTACTGCTGAATCATATCGACCACTGACATCCTCATACTGCAAGGACAAGGTTCTTCAGCTAGCCTGAATTTCCCAACATCCTGGAAACATGAGTTGTTTGCTCAGTGAGGTCATTTTGTACTGTGGGCATGTGACTGTCTATCTGAGTATCTGGCTCAAACCTCTAATAATCATGCTGCCTTCTGGCACTATATAGGGAAACCACAGACCACATCCAATGTGAGGCAAAAAAAGCTGAAAGCTGATTTTCCCCTGGAATCATGTGACTCCTTTAAAATAAGAATCCAGCTGCTGGTCACATCTTGATTTGGTTTATGAGCAACTTGTGCACACTGGTGAAGCCAAGAGTAATGGCATTTGGGCTATATGCCAGGTAAGCAGGGACCAAAAATTACCCTATATGCCAAGCCCCATGGCAATAAACAGGCACACACTCTTCAACCCTGACACTGGGACTTGCACAACATGAGGAAGGCCTAGGCTGTTGCTCTGCTGATGTGGTGAGCTGAAGAATGACTATTTCAAGAAGGTCCTACTTTCAGGGTACACTGAACTTGACTGACTTAAAGGTTCTCAGGCTGGAACTGATATAACTGGCAGTAACCTCCCAGAGAGCACATTCATAAGCCCCACATTCTCCTAACAGTGAAACCTAGAAGGCTTTCTGAAATTCTGTGTAATATAGATGGGAGTCGAATACCTTGAGGGCCCACTAATAGTAGTGCCACTTGAAATCAATTTTTTAATTAAAGTGATTGAACTGTTTGTGGTTTCTATATTGGAATTTTGATCTCTGAATCATAAAACACTTTTTCATTGTGGTATTTTAACACCACTGTGGTGGCCTAATTATCCTTTAGTAAGAGAAAACTGAGCAGCAAACATTCAAATGGAACTTCAGAAACAATTCCAAGGCAGAGCCCAGCCTAGAAACTGAAAACTTCTGACTAGATTTTGGTCTTGATCTTTTGTTTTATTTTCTATTTCTTTTTTTAAGATCCTAGCTAAGCAAAGTTCTTTAACACACGAGGGTAGGAAAAAACTTGCTCTCATTATTTACACTTTGATTCAATTTTCCATGAAATTAGATAAGCTGTGAAAGGCCACTGTCTTCACATTCCCTACACAACATTGACTCTCACTGTTTAGAAGACTGTCATCATGAAGATTCTGCATAGTCCCAGATACACTCCTTTGAATACAATTTTCTGTTCATTTATAGGCTTAGTATTGTCTCCCGTTAATTAGGCCACTGAATAGGAATGTATTTTTTTTTAAGTAGGTTTTCCTTAAAGACCCCTTCATACTCCAAGAGCAACAAAACATCCCCGTGTAATTTTTAAAAACTTTATATAAGCTTATGTAAAATTATCCAAATACAAAAGTTGGCGTTGGGTCACATAAGTCTGTCATTTCTCCTGTATTATTTCTAACTGTTGTCTCTCATATTCCTGAGTAAACAAAACCCAGAAGCAGGGAGCAGCAGGAGCGGGGAGACAGCAGGGGAACCGGGGGAGGAACAGGAGCGGGTGGACATGGCACCCACAGTTCTCAGGACACACCGAAAGGAAATAGGTGGCTAAGGCTAGCGAGAGCCAAACAAGTGGAAGACAAAACTGTTCAATCCGGAACATTCACATCCCTTTTCCAGGTGAATGGTTGACTCTCCTGGCGACTGTTCGTAATTCTCATCACTCAGCACTTATGACAGTGCTGACAAGCTCTCTTGCTGGGAGGGTCCTGGCCTCTGGCCCTGCCCTTCCTGAGGCTGACCAGCTGCACACATTCCCTCCAGCCTAGGGCCAGCTCTCGCTGCTTCCAGTTGTGCTTTCGATTTATGTATTTTCAAAAGGAAAAAGAGATGTTTAGCCACCTCTGAATGTGAATCCCACTTGTGGAGAGCTTGCTCTTATCAAAACATTCTATATTCTTGAGATTTTTTCCTCATTTCTGACTCCTCCAACCAAAGACCAGTGTTTCTCTAAAACTTCTTCCCAGATTCAGGAAAAAGCTTAGACAGCACCAAGACAGCATGGTGACAAGGCACTTTAAAATGCTTTCTTAGCAACTAAAGTGCCATTATAGCCCTAGAATCGAGGGCCCTGGAAATCCAGAATCCAGCTATGCCTCAAAGTAGCCCTCTCTATGGAGGGGACACACGTCACAGAGCCTCTCGGCTCCTCAGCCCCTTCGTGTAAAAGTGAGGTCTTAACCTGATAATTCTGTAGTTTCCTTTCAACTCCAAAGTACTCAAATTCTCTGACCCTAAGACTAACCTTCAGGGAGAGGAGAGCTATCAAAGGAGAGGCATGAAAGGATCAGAATCCTTTCTGATGTTATCAAGCCATTCCTGACACAAGCACCAGCATACCTCAAAAGAAATCCTTTTGTAATGATGTAATCATTGTAACTTTCTGAGACAACCCTGAGAAAATCTCAGTTCATTTAGCAGCTGCTACTTCAGTGTAGAATGGCTTCCGGCGGTGGAGGATGTCTTTGTTTTTCTTGCCCGTATTTCCATAGCCTCTAGTTGAACAAGTACTGTGACTTCTCATTAAGTTAGGCTGACATTATTCCCTACTTGGAGAAGCCCATTGTGGTTTCTGGACCTCTAAAGGAGTTCAGGATTTTAGGGCAATAATGAAGGATAATGAAGGAATGAGATGACCCCTCCCCCCATCAGTGGGCTCAGTGGGCAGTGGTCAGGGCCTGACTGCAGATTACTGTTTCCTGGGGCATTTCCCCTCCAGGGAGCACCGTGGGACATAACTACCTAAGTCCCGGGAGGGCGAGCAGGATGGACACCCTTCCTACTCCCCACCCTCAACTGCAATAAAGAGGGCATGAATCAGGGTACTTTCACACCACTCACATTAACTTGAAGGTTCCAGAATTAATTGCTTAGGCTTTTGCGCTTTAAGGTCTTGTAAAAGAAACACATGAATGTTCTAAAGATTTTTCTTTAAATATTGTTTAATTAAAACATTCTGGATTCTAGGTGTACCCTATTATTTGTAGGGGAGGGGACTCAAGAATATAAATAGGGATCCCAGCCTGCTCCCGCTTTTCTACCTTCACATGCGAGTTACCATGGTAACCATCCCAGCCACTATCATTCCTGCCCCCAGACCTGGGGTTAGGGGTGGGGGAAACCTGCGGAGGCCCTGGCAACAGGTTCTGGGATGTCTGGGCACCTAGTGAATTCTGGGTGCCCAGGTAGCTGGAAGGTGGCCAAGAAGTGGATGGGGGGGCCCTGCAGGCTCTTGGCCAGCACCCTCTCCCCAAGGAGCGGGAAGCTGCTGAAGGAAGGCCAGAGTAGGGGCCCAGGTAAAGGACCCTAGTTTTCCAGCTTAAAGGCAGCACTGCTGCACTCCATTCCAACCAAAATAAATCCAGTCTTTAAGTGTCTTTAAAGGCGCCAAATGCCAAAAAGGCTGTTAAGGTCTGCTGCACCTTCCCACGTACAGTAGGTATGCACGCATGGAGGGGGTGGACATCTTCCACACGGCACTGCTCACGGTGCCATCCCGACTAGTTAGCAGAAGCGGGTACAGACGGCTAGCTCCTTTGAATTAAAAATTGTCTTAAGAATTCAGCAAAGCTAAGCCTTCAGAGAGTGGAGCACATTTTGGGAAGCTCATCATTTTTGGTCTCTAAAAACTGTCTTTTAAAAATAATATATTTATTTTTATTTTTTTAATTGAACTAAAAACCATTTTAACTCATGGAATCTTAAGTCTTAAATTAAGTCCACCAAAGTATGTAATAGGGCACACTTTCCCTTACAGAAGCAGGGCCTCAGGAATCCACGGACATTTTAGCCCAGTGGATGGAGTGGAATGTGAAGGCACAGGGATTTATTCATGGCACGTGAATGATTTAGGTCACTGACGTGCCTGCTCCCAAGGGTGCAGTCTGCCCCACCAGCACGACTGCAACAGAGTTTCCACTAGCAGAAGGGTTTTCAACACGTCAGAATTTGTCCTGATTTTTGTGCTTAGGTTGTTTCTTCATAAAACCCCATCCCGTCTTGCTGTGAAGTATAACAAGTCCGTGCTACGGAGAAAGGGAAACGGTGCATTTTATTTCTCAAACGGTACCTGTGCAGACCCTGGCACCGGGGCAGGAAAACTTCCAGAGAGAAAGACTCTGACTTCTGCCCTCCTGCTGCTGCACCCAAACCAAGCCTTGTATCGTGCCTGCCCCGTGCGGGCTGACAGGGAAAGGCTTCCGTCGGCCTGAGCAAACACAAGGTTCCGTATTTAGTTGGGAGGACCAACTCCAGGTCGTGATGCTATCAGTTGTCTGTTTTGAACCCTTCAAGGACTGAGGAAATTTTCCTGGCACAGCAGACGTCAGCAACGTTAACTGTTCCAGCAGGTCCCCGGTTACATGCTGCTGGGGTGGTGACACAGGTCGTTTGGGGCCTTCCATGGAGGGGACAGGAAACCGGAGTCACCTCTAAAAGGCTCCCTGGTCTTACCGTCATGAAACTGGTGTGTAGAGGTATTCCCTGCACGCGTGACAGTTAAAAAGAACTATGTCAGAGGCAGAGTAGAGTCATGGGTTTTTAATTTGATTTTTTTTTCAGATGGCTGAGGATAAAAACGCTTTAAGAATGTCAGCAGAAGAGAGGTGCCCCAGGCCCTGCCTGGCCTGCCACCTGCTCCACTTTCAGACCTTTGGAGGTTTCCATGAAATTATACCTGGAGAGATTTAGTTCCCTTCTCTAAAAGATGCGAAATCCCTAATCTGTCCAATGTCTATGCCTAAGTAATTCCTTAGGACAGGAAATAAATTGGTCAGCGGAAGAGAAGGCAAAATGACCCTGAGTAAAGTGAGGGGGAAGACGCAAATTGTGTGCCCCAGTGTGAAAATTAAAATTCAAACGAGAATTCTGGGGCTCATCACATGGACCTACACCGTACACCAGAGGGATACAAAGACCAACACATAATAAACATCTAGTCAATATATAAGACACATCACCACGACGAGTCCAACTGTACTTCATATCCTGTCACATCTGATTCACTTTAATTCCCTGAATATCTAAACTTGTAAGACTCTCCCCTCTTGTTCTAGGTGTAAGGTAACTCAGCTCAGTTACCTAGGGTCATGGCAACATCAAATATTAAGGCTGAGAGGATTTTAAAGCTCTTCTAATCTAACTCTGTCATGCGATGAGAGGTCATGTGTCTTGTCCAACACACAGAGCTGGTTGGTGGCAGTACCAGAAGCAGAGCTTGGGTTCTACATTCCCAGGGGAGTGTCTGTCCGCTTTCACTATCTTCCTGATGAGTTTTTAAATTAAAAGGCACTTTCTTGTTCCCCTGTGCAAGGAGGAAGAGATTTATTCTGAATTGCTTTAAAGAGCTTAGTTAAAATGGCATGTTGCATGCTGATACACTGTCTGGGCTTGGGTCTCCTAGGTCAAAGGGATCATAGATTCAGGTCACTCACCACTAGAGGGCACTCAGATTTTCCCGGTTCATTTAAAAAGGTTTCCAAATACAGCCTGCAAATGAAGTTTATCAACAGGATGATATTTTCTGTCAGTAGTAAACGGTAAATGGCCATTTCTCCAGAATATACTGACTCTGGGCATAGGTGTCTAAATGTATGCATATCTACACATACATAAACATGTTATGATTAATACATGTTTGGTATAGTTGATGTTACTATTTTAGATTCAAGCCTGATATTTTCTCGGACTCTTTCAGTTATTGCTTTCAAGTGGTAAGCAAATTTTTGAAGTAAAAATTAATTCAAAAGTCAATCTACCTCCAGATTACTCACACAAAGCCCAGAGGCTCCTGCCAAGACCCGCAGGCCTGCAGTATTCTAAGCAGATCAAGCTTCTTGTTGAGACCCTTGGATACTTTGATTTAAAAGAGAGAAGAAAAGGAGAGCATTCTCTGCTATAAAAGGAAATGAATATAAGCCAGGCAATTTTTTTTAACCCTGTAGCTTATCATTCCTGAAGGCCTTATTCCAATCATGTGGAGAATTTCTGGAGATTTATATCTGGAACCGTGAAAATCCATTCTCTCTATGCACTTTCCAAGCACTTTCTCCAAGCCCTTTCTGCCTGCGTTATTTAAATTCTAACAAGGTCTATTCCATATACTTAAAATAAGTTAAAGCAATATATAACAGCTATTATTCATTACTACCATAGAATTGTCCTGTCTGAACAACACAAAATCTTAAGAATGATCTTTGTGAAAAAAGGTGGGGTGTTTCTGCCAAGCACCTGTGTCTCTAGCTGTCACATCTGGTTTGTTGATGATTGGCATTCTGGAGTCTAGATTCTGCTAAATTGCTTTCCTGCCCCATGGCACTTATGGCACTTACCTGATAAAAGACTAACCTGTGTTTTGCTGCAGAAAGCTTGGCTCACTGCATTGAAAAAGGATACATCTAATTCACTCTGGAAGAGAGAAAAGAGGGCAAGGATGAGAATGCGACACTGGGACACCATGTGCTTAGCAGAGTGAGCGGGTGCCCTGGCCGCATGCTGGGAGGCGGGCCGGAGAGGCTGCTCTGTGTGCAGAGGCATGAGAGGGGAGAGCCCTGAGTTTGGGACTGTGATTTAAAAAAGAATATGCTGGAGTTTAGAGGTAGAAGGGATAAAGTAACTCAGCATTTACAGATGATAGGTAATCTGTTTTGATAGGTTTATCAAAAACCTTAATAATGTATATACCCTTCAAATTCATCAACTTTACCCCTTGAAGTTTATCTCAACGAAATAGATAATGGCACAACAATGTGAAATAGGATGTTGAGGGTAATGTTTATAGTAGCAAACTATTGAAAACAAGGGGGGCTAGTTAAAAAATTAAAGCAGATACACAAATGATGATGTATGTAGATATATAAGTACAGACATAGTGTTGAATAATAAAGCAAGTTATAAAATGGTATATACAGTATTATCCTGTGCATATCTGTATACATGGAGATACATATAGGTAGACAGATACAGACAAATATAAAGCTTGAAAGGAAATGTACCTAACAGTATACATCAACAAGTGATGGGCTTACTGAGTTTTTCCCCTTTCCTTTTGCTTATATGTATTTTTAATTTTTTTTTTTCAGTGAACATATACAGTCATGTCGTGAAGAAATCATAGAGGGAGAACAAAAAGCAAACCGTTATATTCATACTGGAAAGGACTCAAGGCTTGTCACATGCAGCACTGCCACCCCCGATCCCACGTTCTCAGCAACAGCCCTCAACCCTTGCAAAGCTGTCTCCTTTAAAGCCGTCTGCCTGGCTTTTTGTTTTGACAAGTGATGCTGAGGTGTTTCTTTCAGCCCAGACAGCAACATGAGACAAATCTCCAAGCGTAAGATTTGGAAACTCTAAGATTAAAAATACTCCCAGAAAGAATGTTTAAAACTCAGAAACCTAAAAATAAATTTTAGACAAGGCATTCTCTGTGAGTAGGACAGTTTCCATTTTCTTTTCCATCCTCTTCCCTCCTCTTTCTCTTCTTTCTGTTACTATTGTCATCCTGAACCGGGTCCTCCAAGTCTTGCATAATCACCAGGTTTAAATTAAATGCTAATCTTTACTTCTGTGGTTTATGTGGTGGTCACTGACTCTCCTTAGAATTATAGCTGGAATTCAGCAACATGCTATTTATGTTCAGTTACTGAATATAATAATAGCTTAAAAAACCTTAGCAATGATAGTGCTTCCACCCACTCTTTATTCTCCCAGGTTTAAAATATTGCCAATTTGGGAAGTTATATTCTTTTTGCTAGGTGTCCCCTAAAAGCGGCCAGTCCCAGCCAGCTCTGAATACAGACCCCGCCTCGCAGTTTGTTTTGAGAGAGGGGTTGTCCGGAGACAAGCGGGAGCTGGAGCCGCGTTGTATAATATGGTAACCACCAGCCTCATGTCATGACTTAAATTAATTAAAATTAAATAAAATTAAAATTCCTCCTTTACACTAATCACATTTTAAGTGTTCAAGAGGCACATGTGGCTAGTGCCTACTGCATTGGCCAGTAGAGGTACAGGAACTTCTGGAACCCACTGAAGAGTTCTTTTGAATAGTGTTGGTCTCTCGTGCTCTGTCCAAGCAATCCATGCAAAGGAAGATTTTAAAGCCAGCTGGCCTCAATGCTTTCTGTCCTCTCAAAGCCAGTCCCTGGAGTGGCCCAGTGTCCTGCCTTCTTCCAGGTTTGGAGGGCACCAATCCCTTTCTAGTTAGAGGCACTACCATGTCGCTGAGGCCACGAGGCAGCATCCCAGCTCCAACATTGGAAGCAGCTGACAGTAAGCTTCATGCACCAAGGCAGTGGTTCTCAGACTTAAGCATGGATCAGAATCATCTGAAAAGCTTATTAAAACAAAGAGTGCTGGGATCAACCCAGAGTCTCTGAGTCAATAGACTGGGGTGGGTCCCAAATTTTTATTTCTTTCCAGTTCCCAGGTAATGTTTACGCCGCTCGTCCAGGAGCCACACACTGGGGCCTCTGTACTGAGGCAGTGGAGACAGGCTAACTGAGTTCCATGAAGGAGTTTGCCAAACGTTACTTCTGGCATTAGAGTTAGACTGACGATATAACTTCTTCTTTTTAAAAAATGCTTTTTATTTTTACAGAGGGGAAGGGAGGGAGAAAGAGAGGAAGAGAAACATCAGTAGATCACCTCTCGTACGCACCCCAGTGAGGGACCAAACCTGCAATCCAGACATGTGCCCTCACTGGGAATTGAACTGGCGACATTTTGCTTTCTGGGACAACACCCAACCAATTAAGCCACACTGGGTCAGGGCAAGATATAACTTCTTAACATGTGTTTTGCCCTTAGGAGGCTTTAGTGCACTTAATATTACTAACTATGGACTCCACTCACTGTCTCAGGAAGAAGCAGGTTGGGAACAATGTCTTCCTGATCATTTTATTTAAAAGCAAAATGGTATAAACAAAGCCACCTTTCAAAATCAGCTTGTGCCACTACTACTTCTCAAGAATGCCTAACCAAGGCAGAGGAAGGCCCATGGTAGCAGAGTAAAACACCTGCACTGATTGATTGATTTCAAAGCTAAAGTCACCAAGGTAGTGTGGTACTGACTATTTCACTATTTCAGAAAGACTATTGATTTCAAACTAACTACAAAGCTAAAGTCATCAAGGTAGTGTGGTACTGGCAGAAGAATAAACATACAGATCACTGGAACAGACCTGAAAGTCCAGAAATAGACCCTTATATTTATGGTCAACTGATTTTTGACAAAGGTGCCAAGACTATTTAGTGGGGGAAAAGAACAGTCTTTTCAACAAATGGTGTCGGGAATATTTGGGAGTATTTGGTAATATAAAGGAAATAATTACTGATACAGGCTACAACATCGATCAGTCTTGGAAACATTATGCTAAACAAAAAAAGCCAGTCACAAAAGACTACCTATTGTACAGTCATACAAGAGAATGAAGTTAGACCCTACTTCACACCATATACAAAAATTACTCTTAAAGGATCAAAGACCCAAGTAGGAGATAAAGCTACAAAACCCTAAGAAGACAGGAGTAAACCTTCATGACCTTTTTAGACACGACACCAAAAACATAAGCAACAACAACAACAAAACAAATTAACTGAACTTCATCAAAATAAAAAGGTGTTGTGATTCAAAGGACACCATCAAGTGAAAAGAAACACTAAATGGGAGAAAATATTTCCAAATCATATTTGACAGAAGATCTGTATTCTGAATATAGAAAGAACTCTTACAACCCAGCAATAAAAAAGACAATGTAACTGAAAAATGGGCAAAAGATTTGAACAGACATAAAGATATACAGATGGCCCATAAACAGATGAAAAGATTCTCAACATTGTTATCCATTAGCGAAACACAAATCAAAATCTCAATTGACTGCCCTCTATACCACTTCACCCATTAGGATGGCTATAATAAAAAAAGACACATAGTAAGTTTTGGTGAGGACGTGGAGAAACGAGAATTTCATACACCGTTGATGGAAATTTATATCACGCAGCCACTTTGGAAAAGTTTGGCAGTTCACCAAAATGGTTTAAATTTTCCTTTTTCAATTACAATATCATTAAATATTATACTAGTTTCAGGTGTACAAAATAGTGCTTAGACATTTATATAATTTACAAAGTGATCATCCTGGTAAGTCAAATACTCACCTGACACCATACATAGGTATTTCAGTATTACTGATTATTCGCCCTGCAGTGCTTTATATCTCCATGGCTATTATGTAATAATAAATTTGCATTCCTTAATCCCTTCACCTTTTCCCCCTGGCTCCCTCACCCCCACCCCATCTGGCAACCATCAGCTTGTTCTTTGTATTTATGAGAACGTTTCTGTTTTGTTTGTTCATTTATTTTGTTTTTTTTTAATTTCACATATAAGTGAAATGATGTGGTATTTATCTTTTTCTGTTTGACTTATTTCACTCAGCATAATACCCTCTAGGTCTATATGTGTTGTTGCAAATGGTAAGATTTCATTCTTTTTTTTATGGCTGAGTAATGTTTCATTGTATATATGTACCACATCTTCTTTATCCAATCATCTATTGATGGACACTTAAGATGCTTCCATATCTTGGGTGTGGTAAAAATGTTGCAATGAATATAGGTGTGCATATATCTTTTTGAATTGGTATTTTGGATTTCTTCAGATAAAAACCCAAAAGTGGGATTGCTGGGTCATATGGTGGTTCCATTTTTAACTTTCTGAGGAACCTCCATAGTGGCTGCACCAATTCAAAATGTTAATCATGGAGTTACCATAACATCCAGCAATTCCACTCCTACGTGCAATATATACCCAAGAGAACTAAAAGCATGATTCCACACAAAATGTGTCCACAAATGTTCATAGAAGCATTACTCATAATAGCCAAAAAGTATAAATAACCCAAATGCCCGCCAACTGATGAACAAACAAAATGTGGTATATCCATTTAGTGGAATAGTATTTGGTAATATAAAGGAAATAATTACTGATGCACGCTACAAGAGTGATCAGTCTTGAAAACATTATGCTAAGCAAAAAAAGTCAGTCACAAAAGACCACCTATTGTACAATTCTATTTATATAAAATGTCTAGAACAGGCAAATTTATAGAGAAAGAAAGTAGATTAGGAATTGGGGCCTGGAGCAGGTGGCAACGGATAACTGTGAGGGAAATGCTGATGGGTATAGCATTTCTTTTTGAGGTGATGAAATATTCTAAAATTGGTGGTGGTGACAGTTGCACAACTCTGTAAACTAAAAACCATACACTTTAAGTGGGTGAACTGTATGGTATGTAAACTATATTTCAACACAGCTACCTTTTCTTTTTTCCATTTTAAAGGACTATTGGGAAGGAACTCCTGTATTCCTTAAGAGGAGTAAAAGGAGTTGGTTTTGACCGTGAAAGCAAGGGTTTGGATGGAAATGATTTAAATTAAAAAGAGTCCTAGTATTTTACAAGGGGAAGTAGAAGAAAGGAAAACAGAGAGAGCAAATTAGATAGCAAAGTCTCTTAACTGAGAGAAAGACCTAAGAGGTTTTTAGTCTTGGAGAAATGGTTCTTTATAAAGAACTAAGACACACATAGGTTTGTAATGCTTTCCATGAGCCAGAAGCAAAGGTAAAGAAAATCTGCCATCACTTGAATTTTAACTTTTACATATGAAAACTCTGTGTTAATACATGGTCTTGAAATAGACCCATTTCTGGGAGACTGGCCTGAGGATGAAGCCTGTTTTTACTCATTAGACTTACCACTCGGCTGAAGTACTCATCTAAAACTTCCACAAAGTTATGGATAAATTCATAAATCGCCATCTCGTTCTGAAATAAAAAAGGACGGACGCAGTTAGTTTTAGGATGGTCCATGTGTAAATCAGACATGGAGCTGCCCGGCCAGCAACCAGGCTGTAGAGCACATGGCTTGGTATGCAGGTAACAATGGGGGCAAAGTAGCTTCCCACAGACAAGTGGTCAGAATGGTTTTATGACTCACTTGTTTAAAATAAGTTTTTTAAGAGGGAAAACGTAGAGAACCTTAACCTCTAAAATTTTTTTTGATTGTTTATGATGAATCTAGCTGGACTGAAATCAAATTGGGTCTTGTATTCAGAATTCTGAGCTCTCCTCCCTGACTTGATCAACAACCTGTTGAAGCACAATCTTTCAGGTTCTTCGTGCCATCACTTTTCCATCTGTGAAGATGGGGAAACCACCTCAAAATTTTGTTCACAGATGAAAAACTGAGATTCCAAAGTATTTTAGATCTTAAACACCCTTTCAGAGATTCCATGGCCATAGATGCTGTTGATCTGGGACTGACATTTCTGAAAAGGTAAACTAAAATCTGAGGAGATGTAATTATGACGTAATCATTATTTCATTGGCCCTGCTTCGGATATGTCAGCCTATGTTTAATCCCACAAATAACTGGCCACCACGCTGTGTAAGCTGCCCCACCATGCCACCCAAAACAAGGGCAGGGCACTGGTATTTTTGGGGGCCGAGGAAAGCTTTCTGTGGTTTTGTACTTCTCTACAAGCTCTTTATCTAACCCAATAAAAATCCTAGGTATTTCTCTTCCACACAGCTTTCTGTAGCCTGGATAGAAACCAAGATCCTTCAGCCTGGCCAGGTAGCTCATTTGGTTAGAGCGTTGTCCAGGTATGCCAAGGTTTTGGGTTCAATCCCTGGTCAGGATATATACAAGAATCAACTAATGAATGCATAGGTGGGTGGAGCAACAAATCAATGTTTCTCTCTCTCTCTCTCTCAGATCAATAAAAAACAAAACTTTTAAAAAACTGGGAAAGAAAAGAGCCAAGATAAATCTTAAGGAGGCAAGTAGGGAAGAAAATGTCAATGTAAGGAGGAATAAAAATCAGACTATTATGCCTAATTGTTTTGCATCTTCCAAAGGCTCTCCTATTGTCTTACCTCAGTGTCATTAACTCCAACCACGATGAAGAGAGCAGCATACTGCCGATATATCAGCTTAAAATCCTTATATTCAATGAAAGAACACTAGACAAAACACAATTAGATATTAATTCCTATGGTGAACAGGGATTTCTTCAAAATGGCATGCATAATTTTGAGGTTCTCATTTGAGTATCTGTCAGCACATTCCTAGAGATATCCAGCATTAAAATGTTACATGTCTTTGCTGGCTGTGCCTCCTCACGGTATTCAGGGGACTACTTGGAAGCGTTTCTAGTGAGAGGCGAAGAAGTGGTCTTGGAAAAGTCTGAGAGTTCATACGGGCTCCCACCTGTGCTCCTTCTATGCGGGACTCAGCAGACAGAGCTAGTAAATAATCAGCTATTTAAACTGCCTCCAACATGAAAATAAGCCAACATGAAAAGAAGGTTTTCTCTTTCCACCTTCTCTATGCTCTTTTGGAAGCAATTAGGGATTTAGTTTTATACTATTCAACAGTCACTGAAGGGCCAAATATATGTAGCATACACACATACAAAAAAAAAATCCCAATTTCTTTTTCCTAGACGCACAGAAAGAATCAATGTAGACTCTTTTATAAATTATTTAAAGACAGCTTTTATGTGGCAGATGCTAGACAAAATCTCTCATTGTAAACATTGCTTCATATCAATTAATAACTAGCTTACCACCACTGACTTGTGGATAAAACAACTCCCTTCCCATTTATCTGTTTCCTACAGTCATACAAAGGGTTATGGGGAGACACTGGGTGGACAGGAACCGGGGTGCAGACTGAAGGCACACTCTGCCCTTCCTTTGGACTTTTGGGTGTGCCTGACCAACGTGCTTGCGCATCAGCTGTATGGCCTTTTGCACTGGGTATGTTGCTCTTGGGTGCCCGGATGCACCTGGGAATGAAGCTGCAAGTTTGGATCATGGAATTTCTTCCATTGGAAAGCCACCTGACAAACTATAAAATGGAGGGATATGAGGCTTTTATTTAAAATTAGGATAAATGCAATACATGCCAGACCTTTCTGCAGCTTTTGGCTCACTGTGGAGCCAGTGTGATTTCTAGTCAATTGGATCTTCCAAAGAAACACAACCTATTTGAACAAACTGATGCACATTTTTCAAAGCCTCTTAGGAGTTTCTGACATAAAAAAAAAGTATTAAAGCACCTTTGTGGATAAAATAAAAACTAAGCTGAGATTGGGCTTCTTTGGTGCCTGATTATGCCAAAAGCTTAGAGGGTTTCTATTAAAGTCTAAAATAATTTAGGATATTTCCAAAATACCTAACAGTGTATTCACTCCAAAGCACATATTTCAAAGGATAAACTATCAGTGAAAAGGTGTTTGCAATTGTCGAGTTGAAATTACAGGGAGATTCAAACGTGCAAGCTTCTGGAGTGTGTTTATCTTTACTTAAAGTCGTGGCTATTTACACAGCCCTTTAATAGTTTCTGTTTCCTCTGACAACTCCACAAAGCAGTGTGTGCCATAGCGGGCCAAAGCAGTAATTCAAAGAACACTCTTGAGATGTTCCGACTGGAAAATCAATTCAGTAGCCAAGGGAAACACAGTTCCAATGTGTTAACTTCTGAAGCACTGCTGTAGCTTAATATATTATGACTTAGTGGTTCCCACAGGCAGCCTTTCTACATAGGTAATGAAATGGAGAATTGGCAAAATGAATGCATGTTTTAAACAAGCTTTCTGGTTTTGCCTCAGTTTGTTCAGTGATTTCCAATGGGTTCAAAGTTTAGGACCTGGATTAAGTAAATCTGCAATTAAAGTTCTTTGTAAAAATAAACTCAGTTTTAAAAATTCCTATTTATTATTATTTTAATGATTTATTTGAACCTCAATTTTGGAAGAATAAATGGATTTATTGTTTCATTTTTTTAACATCCATTTTTCCTATCTACATAATAAAATAAGACTCGTTCAAATCAAGTTTGTTTTTAAATCACTAGTTCCAGCATTATGTTTGTGGTACGTTCACAAAAATGATAAGCATGAGAATCATATTATTATCCTCTGGCACAAAGTGGGTCTTCAGTGTTTACCTCTATACTGGTCACCTAACCTTCAACTTTTTGGCTTAAAGAAATCCACCTGCTATAGGTACTCCTAAGAGTTCCAAGGGCTGAATTCATAAAAACAAAAAAAAGAAGTTATGTTTATTAGCAGGAATACATTGGAGCTGCCACTTCTATAGTGCATTGAGACAAATATGCTGCCCTAAATATGAACCCAAGACTGTTCCTGGCTTTCTTTGTCTTTATTTTCTTTAAGGAGCTGTAAGGAGAGCTATGCTTCAGTTTTCATTTCACTTCACTTGTTATTTTCCCTAATAGCAAGACTGAAGTTCAAAGAAAACTTCATTCCCTGATGGTCCTTGAGACACAGCAGTAACAGATTGGCCACCGCTGAGTGGAGTGCAGAGATAAAAGAGAGAATCAGAAACTTACTTGTTCATTGGATCGAGAGAGACAGCTCTTTATGACTTCTGTTTCTAGAAGTGTACGCTTATTAATCTCCACATGTTCGTAGTACTTAGAAAGTCGGGTCTGCCCTTGCTTATTCACCATGAGGAAAAATTTTATCATTTTTTCCCCTGGCCAGTGTTTTTCCAAACGTAGGTCAGAAGTTATAGCAAGGGGTGGCTGTAACTAGAAGCTGAAGGAGGAAAGAACAACAGAAAGGCAAGATGAAATTTCTCAAAGAATCATATTAAATGTGTTCTATAAATGAGCCAGAAGTAAATAAAGCGTCTTCTGATATCATTAGTCTTCACTACTATGAGCTAAATCAGGTTTTACTAAATAATTAAACATAAATGGTCATTAGTTATCTTCCAAAATATTTTTGAGTATCCATAGTACTTCTACTCACATCTGTTGTGTGGATTCATCAGTTTTGTTGGACATCCAACTATGTGCTAAGAACCAGAAGAATATGTAGGTGAAAAAGTAATGACTTCTGATCTTCAATAAGGGTGCCAGACAGGTAAACAACAGCAATCCAAGGTGACGGTTATAACTGGTACACAGAAGGGTGGGACAAGGAACATCACAGACGAGTTGGGAATGGCTTCCCAAAGAAGGGACATTTAAAAAGTCCCTGAACACTGATCTAGAGGAAGTGACTCTGAGGCAGAGAAAATAGGAATAAAGCTCTGGAAAGTTCACTGTGGCTGTAGTTCAGGGTACAGGAAGAACAGTCACAGGAAATTGAGTTGCCCATATAAGATGAAATTGGCTTTAGAAGTCATGCTCAGGAATATGAGCTTTATTTTATGGACAATGGAGACAATATCTACATAGAGGAGCTTTTCTTTCCTTAGTGTTGGAAGCAGTAGTTGTAATAGCAACTATTTGTCAAAGTCCTCTAACAAGGCTCTATAGCTAGTTCTATAAGGTCTTGTACTAAGCAATTTACATGTATTACTTAATGTTCACAATTCTCTGAGGCAGATACTTCTGTTATCCCCATTTAAGGGGCAAGCACACTGAAGTTTAGGGATGTTAGGACACCCGGAGAAATCCCTGGATTACTCTGTATTAGAGGCGAGCTGCAGCTCGGAGGAAGAGCACGTGCATGGGCCTGCGACGCCCCGAACTCATCCTCATCACTCAGGAGTCCATGCTCGTGGCTTTGTTTCCAGGTCAGCTCTACGGAATCTCAAGTTTGTTCCTTTCATACGTTAATATAGATTTTGAAATACAGATTTAGAAATAATCAATTGCAAAAAAGCACAATAGTGACCAATGGCCAGTCCTTTCATCATGAGCATTAAAGCTGCCTCATTGGATCATCTGCCAATATCATATTCACATTTTGTAATATCTGAAAATCAGTGCAAAACACCAAGGTTAATAATACCTCTTAAATAAACTTTTAAAATTTAGAATAATTTTACCAAAAAGTTGCAACGGATTATGGGATAGTACTTGGACAAAGTTTTATATCATTTTTTGCCTTCCCAGCTCATCTCTTATTTCCTAAACTCTACCAGACAGGTGGTTGCGTCACAACAATCCCAGCAGAAAGAGCCAGGCCCAGTCTGGCAACGCCTGGGGTTGCTGTGTTCAGTCGGTGTGCAGAGCAGGATGTTATCTAGACCAGCTCAGCCGGGGACATGACAGCTGTGCCGTGGGGGAGGCCTGTGGTCGTTTGCTCTCCTTTCCAGGAAGATAAATTCACTACCGTAGGTGGGATTGCAACATACTCTATGTTGTTTAATCATTTGGTATTACACATTGTTGTTTTTTTTTTAATGTATTGATTTGAGAGAGAGAGAGAGACGAAGGACAAGAGAGAAAGAGAAACAACAATTTGTCAGCCCTCTTATTTATGCATTCACTTGTATCTGCCCTGACCAGGAATCAAACCCGCACCCATGGCATATCAGGACGACACTCTAACCAACTGAGCAATCCGGCTAGGGCCGCGTGCTGCTTTTATTCTCTTCACAAATTATTGCCAGGAAATTAAGGCAAGTGACTAGTAAATTAAGATTACTGTCCTTTCTTTTATTTCCTTTCAGCAAAGTTGTTTGAAAACTATATTTATGAAAGTTGGGAATTACAATCCTACACCCTGGGTTTCAACTGCCAGGTAAAAGAAAAAAAATATTGTCTCAAAGGAATTCACGGCTAAACCTTTGCCTTTAAATGCCCTGGTTGCATTAAGTGGTAAAATAAGATGTAAAGTGATCCCATTGAGATGTTACACCAAGGGATCAAATTGGTTTCTACCTTACAAGCAGGGCATTCCTTCCTACTGACTTCAAGAGCGAGGATGACAAACAAGGATGTGGTGAATTGATACTCATGAGGGTTCAAGTTTTCAAAATAGTAGCTGAAGGCATCTAAAGACTTGACTATAACACTTTTTTTTGGACACTCATAAACAATTACAAATTATAAAACTGTAGAATTACACAGGGGTAATAAAATGAACACACAAAACTATAAATTATTTGGATTGTAAAATAAATGCCAAAATGCACAATGCAGAAACTCACAACAACTATATATTTGAGAACTGAAGATGAATGTTCTAAGCATTTATTTGGCTTACTAATCATCAGGGAGGAGGCAGATCAAATAATTATGAAACTGAGGTAGGGCAATAAGGAATAAGTTCAGACAAGTGCTGGGAGTGGTCAGGGAGCAGGTATGAACTTCCTCTCCCTATAAACTCTTTGCATTCAACAACACACAAGGTTGGGAAAGATGTTTTGATAGTCAGGAAGTTAGATTCCACACCCAAGAGCCTGTGTGAATGTGCAATGAAAAAGGAAACTTCACTGGGGAAAGCACTCATTACACAAAGAGTGCGAGACCATGAAAAGGGCAAAACTAGGGAGTTAGGTAGATTCACAGGAGCATACGAACAAGATCAGTGCCCCAGGATCCTATGTGATATACACTTGATGCCTAGAGAAAAGAGAGACTGGAAATATGGAAGTACCTATTGAATTGGGCAGTTTTAAAATTTCTGATGGTGTATTTCTGGGATTTAGAACTGGAAGTCTTGCCCTGACCAGTGTGGCTCAGTTGGTTGGGCAATGTCCTGCAAAGTGAAATGTCCGGTTTGATTCCTGGTCAGGGCACATGCCTGGATTGTAGGTCTGGTTCCATTCCAGGTTGGAGCGCATACGAGAGGCAACTGATCCATGTTTGTCCTTCAAATCAGTTTTTCTCCCTCTCTTTCCTGCACTCAAAAAAAAAAAAAAAAAAAAGAGGAGCCCTGGCTGGTGTGGCTCCTTGGACTGAGCACCAGCCTGTGGACTGAACAGTTACTGGTTCCATTCCCGGTCAGAGCACATGCCTGGACTGCGGGCCAGGTCCCCAGCTGGGGGCGTAAGAGAGGCAACGGATCTTTATTTCCCTCACACATGTTTCTCTTCCACTCTGCTTCCTTTTCCCTCTCTCTAAAATAATAATAATAAATAAAATCTTTAAAAACCTTGTCTAATAAATAAAAAATGTTTAAAAACCCTAGGTTAACTTGGGTAACTTCCAAAACTGGAAGTCTTTATACAATAGATCTTCATACCCAAAGATAACAACTAAATTTCAGCTTGGGTGCCAACTGTGACTAACTGTACTCACTGCTTTGGGCACTGTGTTGGGAAGGATCTGGAGCTGTTTTCAGGTTCAGAAGAATGGAATGCCATGAGTGACTAGTAATGTCAGTCATGGGTTAGAAAGCAGGGTGTGGCACCATATGCACCTATCTGTCATCCCTGACGTGCACTCCCTTCATTCTGCCGACGGGAAAACTGATAACCTGAGACGGAAAGTCCTGAATTCTGGTCTCCTGACTCATAATATAATGCTGAATTTAATTTATCACATTGCCTCTTTGTCTCACTCAGTGTTAAGTGTTAGTAAATATTCATTTAGGCTTAATAAACATCAATGTCAGGTAGCTTTGGGAATGATCACATCAATGTTCTCTCTTCTAAAGCCACTGCACAATTAATTTGGGAAATACCAAACAATTCCCTGAATGAAAATAGTATGAAGTCACTAGAAATGAAAATGGTATTTGATGATGGCGAGCATCCTTTCTAACTCTAAATGCTTTCTAAATATCCCTAAATTGTATCTCTCTCTTTCTCACTCGAAGGTAATATCAGATAAAAACCTGTTTACTTGCTCCATATAAATGATTGAAATAAAACCCTCAAGTTATAAAGCAAACTTCTACCAAGAAAATGTATAGTATTCACTCAATGTAACAGTCAAAAGCATGAACTAGAGTTTGACTTGCTCTACTACTTACTGGTTTTGTGATCCTGGGCAAGTTACTCAATCTTTTTATACTCAGTCTGAAGTACAATGGGAAAAATAATAGCACATACCTTATGGGTTGTGAGGATTAGAGGAGTAAGTATATGTAACGTTCTCAGAACCTGCTCCGCAGTCGGCCCATAGTGAGCGCTATGTAGGTAAGCGTGGGCCAATGTTATTATGATGGGACAGCACCTCGTCCTCGGTGAAGCCTTTCCTGCTTGCCAATCCCTTCATTCTATCCACAAAAAGCTGGTCATACTTTCTTTGAACCCATCACTGTGTCTTACAAAACCTCTCACCCTACATCAGCAATTTTCAACCTGTGGGTTGTGGCAGGCATGCTGGTGAATCACAAGAATTTTTAAGAAATGCTATACCTCATGATTTAGTCAAGGGCACTGATCTCTCTTCCATTAGATTATCAAATTAAAAAAAATGACAACAGCCAACACAACAATAACCATCTGGTATGAATGAATCAAGATTATACCTATTTTTTTGTCAGATCAGCAAAAAATATATTTTTGGTGTGCTGCAGAATTTTAGTAATTAGCTTGTATGTCATGAGATGAAAAAGGTTGAAAATCGCTGCCCTATAGTGATTTTCATTTTTTATTGTGATGGTAAGACAGGTGTTTTATACTGTGACCTCATATATAGGAACCTGTATTATCTGAAACAGAAGTTCACAAAATAGTGCTTGCCCATACTGTTCATATTGCACTCCAGTATTTACTTTTGACATTTCATTTTGTAAAAACTGCAGCTTTGAGTGATTTGGGCTACACAGATGTATAGATTTTTCAAAATTCAGCAAATGTATGTTAAAGATTCATGCATTTATTATATACTTCTAAAAAGATTTTATTT